GACAGGAGCTCATTCCACAAGAGATAGAGTTTTCATAACGTTAACATGGCTCTCTCTTTCACACACGCGTATGTGCACGATCAGCCAATCTATTTGCAAATCCAGTTCTGTCTCTTACAGGCTGACCACAAAGAGAAAAAAGCATGAAGGATTTGTTTTGTGTTTTTTTTGTGGTTCTTTCTATTTTTAAGCAACTGATCGGGCAATCCTAGACGAAGTTACATCTTTCTAAATCCACTGAAATCAGTGGTGGCTGAGAAAGATATAATTCTGTTTAGGATTGCACTGTGAGAGGTGTTCGGCTGCCATGGGGACGGGGTGCAATGTGAGAGCTTGGCAGATGGATGGAGAAGGGAGGAAGAGAAGGAACGGAACAGCACAGCGGGTGAGCTGCTTCCAAATGGCAGCTGAGGGGTGGAGAGGGAGAGTGGCATGAAAATCTGCCATTTTCCCCACAATGCCTTGTGATTCAGGAGGACCAGCGGCTACAGCAGATATCCAACACTTCTGGAGAACCCGTATTGAGTATTATTGGAAGCAGAAGGCAAGAAGAGCATAAAGGAAGGTCCATTGTCCTGTTGGTCAACTCTAGAGGTCATATTAACACACTGATTTTTACGGTCATGTCTTCCCCAAATCATTCCTGGGAATTTTTGCATAACAAAGGTGCTGAGAGTCACCTGTTAGAGAGCCAGTTTGGGGTAGTGGTTAGGAGCATGGACTCTAAACTGGGAAAGCCGGGTTTGATTCCCAACTCATCCACATGCAGCTGCTGTTGTGACCTTGGGTCAGTCATAAGTTCTCACAGAGCTGTTCCCTCAGGAGTAGTTCTCAGGAGAGCACTCCCAGCCCCACCTACCTCACAGGGTGTCTGTTTTGGGGAGGGAAGGGGAAAGGAGATGGTAAGCTGCTCTGAGACTCCTTCAGGTAATGAAGGGCAAGGTATAAATCCAATCTCCTCCTCCTCCTCCTCCTCTGTTAAGGGCTGTGTGACACTTCCACCAATTCCCAGGGTATCTGTGTGGAACCAGTCATAATTCTATATATGCCTTGTGTCAGTTTGGCTATCAGTCCTTGTTTGTTCAATCCCTGCTCCTACAAACACACAGACACAGAGAGAGGGATTGATATAAAATATCCAAAATTGCACCTGGTTATTTCTTTGATGTTTTTATTGCTTTCAGCTCCCCCCCTCTTAATTCCCTCCTTGCTAATGACAGTTTAACCCTAGTTTAATACCTAGAATGAAAGATATTTAGGCTGCGTCCAAAAGATATCTCCAAAGGCCATTTATTTATTTCATGTATACCCTTTCTTTCTTCCCCATGGGGACCCTAGCCAGTTTAGATCATTCTCCACCATTGTATCCCCACAACCACACTTTGAGGTAGATTGGACTGAGGGACTGGCTCGAGGTCATCCAACAAGCTTCCATTGCAGAGTGGGATTTCAAACTCGGGTCTCCTAGGCTGCACCACACACACGAAATAATCCACTTTCAATCTCTTCCACATTCTCGTTTTTGTC